TTTTCACGTCCACAACCGTCTCCCTCATTCAAACCTCCAATTCCATACAATCACATGCATCGTGAATCAACATAACGTAGCTAAATTTAACACATAGCATAGCGTCCGATAGCATCAGACGTAGCAAGTTCATCTACAACCGGACATAAACAAGTTCACACAATATAGATAGTTCGATCAACTAGCTACAACGCTAGGCATGAAGTTCACCACTTCCTCGCGCGGGCCCTTCCTCTTGGCGTCTCTCGAGCAGTGGAAGTAGGCACCAAAGTTCTCGCAGTATACATTGGTGGCCGAAGGGGCGTCATCATCACTGGAGGTGCTGCGAGATGAGGAAGGGAGCCCTGCCAGACGCAGGGCAGCGTGGGCCTGCTCGTTGGCGAGGCGCTTGACTTTAGCCATGTTGGTGGCCTTCTCCTGGCCTTCTCCTTAGCGAGCCGTTTGGACTCCTCAATGCCGAGCCGCAATGCCTTGCATTTTTGCTGCTGTGGCGGCGGGCATCCGTCTCGGTCATGGTCGGATGACGCCGCAGACGAGCTCCTCCAAGTCGGAGGGTAGGGCAACGACACGGACCTTCACGGCCCGCAGTACGACCGACAAGATCTGGCCCGAGCCGCCTGCCTCTCGCAACGATTTGCCCTCGCCTCCAACTCCGGGAGCCACGACCATGGGCTTGACGGTACCATCATGAACACCCAACATTGCCCGGGAGGAGTAGGGGCCAGAGATGACGGGTGCCACTGCTCGTCCCGCCACCTCACTAGGGAGGGCATGAACCGTGAAAAGAAAATTGGATTTCATTGAAGTAATAAAACTATTCCAATTCGAATAGCAGTTGAGAAAGAATCGCAATAAATGCAAGCATGGAACATCTTCATTACGGAATTGAAGGAGTTGAACCAGGATTTTCAAATGGATAGGATAGGCTATTTTTTATGTGGTAGATAATCCAAATGTAAAAATTTATCACCTAAAAGGGAGAATAGTACGGAAATGTAACTCGGTATTCAAACAGCTATTCAGAGTTTCTAGAGCTCCTTGTACGACATGTCGAAAAACCTGCTGTCGGACCTGATTCATTGCCCTTCGTTTTTCAAAATAAAGGCTTCCATTTTTAGACTTATCTAATTGTTCCAAACTAATAGAAGTAGCAGTAATCAAGTTTTCTTTTTCTCGTTTTTTCTCATTGTATCCATTCATCCGATACTAATGTGATAGGCTGGTGCACTGGGGTGCGGAGCTTGAGCAGCCGCCCCTGTCCATCCGTGACTGGCGGAGGGAAACACGGATGGTGAGCTCCTCGTCCGACTCCGCCGTAAGAGGGTGCCAATCGACGTGGTCGGCTTCGGACAAGGAGCTGCTGTCGGATCCGTCCATGGTCACAACGCACGATCGCGAGGGGAGGGGAGCGGACAGGGAGATGAATAGACGAGGATAAGAGAGGGAAAGTGGAGCAGGCAAGAGAGTGATGAGTGTCAAGGATTTGGTCTGGGGTGGGGTTACGCAGGTTGGCCCAACGTCCGCACCGCCTCATATTAGGCGTGCCAGACAATTTGGATATTTAGGCTGTGTTTGAGGAATTCGGCTAGGTAGCTAATTTTAGTTTGGGAGTGTCCGTGCGGATGACATTAGGGGATGAGGAAAGCAAAAGCTAACACAAGTTATGTTATTTCCTGGAAAACGCTATCCTTCAGCCAGCTGATGCACGCGCAGCGTCCATCGCCCACGTAGCCGTCGTATTGATTTTGATCGAGTGCTCACGCAACCATTTTCTTTTCTTTTTTGCAACAAGCAATTTGTTTCAGAAGATTTTTGCAAATGGGGTCTTGTTTCAGAAAGAAAAAACGCTTCGGTGATGAAGTTTTTTTTAACAACAGGGTTTAGTTTCAGAAGGTTTCTGCAATAGAGGTATTGTTTCAGAAAGAAAAAAATGGTCCGATGCTTAAGATTTTATCTTCTGCAACAGGGTTCTTATTTCAGAAACATATCCCTGTTGGAAATATGCCCTAGAGGCAATAATAAAATGGTTATTATTATATTTCCTTGTTCATGATAATTGTCTATTGTTTATGCTATAATTGTATTAACTGGAAACCGTAATATATGTGTGAATACATAGACCACAACACGTCCCTAGTGAGCCTCTAGTTGAATAGCTCGTTGATCAATAGATGGTTATGGTTTCTTGACCATGGACATTGGATGTCATTGATAATGGGATCACATCATTAGGTGAATGATGTGATGAACAAGACCCAATCCTAAGCATAGCACAAGATCGTGTAGTTCGTTTGCTAAGAGCTTTTCTAATGTCAAGTATCATTTCCTTAGACCATGAGATTGTGCAACTCCTGGATACCGTAGGAATGCTTTGGGTGTACCAAATGTGACAACGTAACTGGGTGGCTATAAAGGTGCACTACAGGTATCTCTGAAAGTGTCTGTTGGGTTGGTGCGAATCGAGACTGGGATTTGTCATTCTGTATGACGGAGAGGTATCTCTGGGCCCACTCGGTAACGCATCATCATAATGAGCTCAATGTGACTAAGGAGTTAGTGACGGGATCATGCGTTATGGAACGAGTAAAGAGACTTGCCGGTAACGAGATTGAACGAGGTATGGGGATACCGACGATCGAATCTCGGGCAAGTAACATACCGATGGACAAAGGGGATTGTATACGGGATTGATTGAATCCCCGACATCGTGGTTCATCCGATGAGATCATCGTGGAACATGTGGGAGCCAACATGGGTATCCAGATCACTCTGTTGGTTCTTGGCCGGAGAGATGTCTCGGTCATGTCTGCATGGTTCCCGAACCCGCAGGGTCTACACACTTAAGGTTCGATGACGCTAGAGTTGTTATGGGAAACTGTATGTGGTTACCGAAGGTTGTTCGGAGTCCCGGATGAGGTCCTGGACATCACGAGGAGTTCCGGAATGGTCCGGAGGTGAAGGTTTATATATGGGAAGTCCAGTTTCAGTCGCCGTAATGTTCCGGGGGTTATCGGTATTGTACCGGGACCACCGAAAGGTGTCCGGAGGTCCACCTGCCCCGGGGGACTTAATGGGCCGAATATAGGAGGGAACCAACCCCTAGTGGGCTGGTGCGCCCCTCCCAAGGGCCCAAGGCGCCTAGGGTTTGGAAACCCTAGGGGAGGGGGTGCCTCCACCTTGCTTGGGGGGCGAGTTTCCCCCTCCTGCCCCCCCTCTAGATGGGATCTATAGGGGCCGGCCCCCTCTCTCCTTCACCCTACAAATAGAGGAAGGGTGGGAGGGCTGCAGGACCCTTCCCCTGGCGCAGTCCCTCCCTCCCCAACACCTCCTCCTCCTCCGTAGAGCTTGGCGAAGCCCTGAGAAATACCACAAGCTCCACCACCACGCCGTCGTGCTGCCGGAGCTCTCCCTCAACTTCTCCTTCCCCCTTGCTGGATCAAGAAGGAGGAGACGTCCCCGGGCTGTATGTGTGTTGAACACGGAGGCGCCGTCCGTATGGCTCTAGATCGGATCTTTCGCGATTTGAATCGCCGCGAGTACGACTCCATCATCCGCGTTCTAGTAACGCTTCCGCTTAGTGATCTTCAAGGGTATGAAGATGCACTCCCTCTCTCTCTCTCTCTCTCTCTCGTTTCTAGCATCTCCTAGATTGATCTTGGTGATGCGTAGGAATTTTTT